ATTCTTTTTTTCAATAATAAACATATCTAAAAATATATACAAGGTTAATTGAAAAAGGTATAGAGACCCTTCCTTAGAGGTAAATCAAGAATCATGTCAATTTGAGTAGGCGTAATCTTGAGAAACAACAAAGAAAGTATAAATCTGTTCATTGATTGCCATATGAGTTCCCCGTATGCGTTGGTTGATTGACATGATCCAATTGGTTTTTTAAAATTCATTCATCGTACTAACTTAGCAATTCTTCTAATGGTGTTTTTTCATCTCTCTGGCGATAATCTCAAATCTTTCCGGCAAATCCTCGAGGACCACAGAAAGAACACTCTGAAATCGCTTTGCATCTTCCTGGTCCAATTCATACCAAGCCATTGTACCAAAATTTTACTGATAAAGATTTGCAGGGACGAGAATCTAAAGAATCAAAGTGTGTAATGTGATGATGACGACTAATAATTTGTGATTTCTTGAATTTATCTCTCTATCTTTACCTGTTAAAGCTCTGAGAACACATAAAGATGAAGAAGAAAAACGAATTGTGATGTTTTGAAGTCGTTATCTTGCAATATAACTAACTCTCCGAAGTAAAAACCTGATAAAGCCATGCACGCGCTTCATTAACCCTGCCCAAAACCAACCGATTTCGAATTACTCGAACCCGGCCGGTTATGAAGCTAAACCGAAGATATATCCAAATCCCTTGGACTGCATCAGTTATAACAAGCCGGGTCCCTTCACTGTGGTTGTAGTTTTCGACTTTTCTTTTCGGTGAGAGAAAGAAGCTATGTCTCAGGTATTTCAATCGGATTTTGATTCTCTTCTTTGAATTCCATTTTCTCGATCTGGGTCATCGTAAAGACTGTTACTTTATCCCCGTTTGACAGAGATATGGTTTCACACTTTCCAATCCATCATCATTTGATGATCTTATTGTATGCCTTGTCGATCTTCTCGATCTAGTTATTCATGTGTGGATTCCTAATTCCTTGTCTCGAATCTTTTTATATGATCTCTGTGGTTGCATCGATCTGTTCTCTCTAGTTTGTTTCAATAGCAAACATTTGAATTACTAGACTTTAGATCTTGATTGGGAAATTACAAGACAGATAATCATCAACACAAAGGTTTTGGTGTCTTCTGTTTGGTTGCTTTTGAGAAATTTGATCAGTGTTTCAAAGGGTTATAGGTCAGTTTTGTTTTCTTGATCTGATTCTCCAATAAACTTTTAGCATTTTGAATAGAACAAAGCCGTTTGCTGTTTAAAGCAAATTTTGCAGTTGCTTCTCTTTGTCTTGTCCATTTAATCTAATAAGTAAGTTGTTGTACATTCTGTTTTATGGGTGTGTAGACTGTTGTTCTCAGAGTGGCTATGACATGCGAGGGATGTGTTGGTGCTGTGAAAAGAGTCCTCGGTAAAATGGAAGGTTAGTTTTTCTATGGCTACTAACCAATTGTCTTCTCGTTCCATTTGTCCTTACCGTAACTGATAGATTTCAGGAAACGATTTTCAATCTCTTGTAATCTGCATAGTTCTAGTTCTTGACCACAGACTTCTTTTGCTTCTAATCTCCCTTTAACCAAAGATTATAAAACCCTGCAAAGTCAAGAACATGAACATCACTTCACTCGGTTTCTTGCAGGCGTGGAGTCATTTGATGTTGATATAAAGGAACAAAAAGTGACTGTGACAGGCAAGGTGGAGCCAGCTGCGGTTTTACAAACGGTATCGAAAACAGGAAAGAAATCGGAGTTCTGGGAAACGGAGGCCGGAACCGCCAAGGCCTAAGGAAAAGCAGAGCATTTCATTTCTTGTGACTCTCTGTTTTAATAAAATCTGGATGGAATCCTTTTCTGTTTCTTCTGTTTCCTGAGTCTTGTGGTTGTGCATTGCTCTCTGGAGCTACTACCTTCTTCTAGTCATTGAGGTGTTGTCGTTTAAAACAGTGTATGATCAGACCTATCATGATGTCCCAAAGTTTGTTCTTTCGTCAAAGTAAGAAAGTAAGATTGAGCCAGATACCAAAATATGA